ATTTCTCAAAAAGTTTGAGTCAGAATTGCTTCCCAAAAACCTACCGTAGGGCCAAAGTAACCAATCTCTTGTCTCTGGAACCCCAATTTTCCCAAGTGGAAAGTCAACGCTTCTGGCATTATGCTATTTGTATAAAAAAGCTCTAAACTTTGCACTTCAGGCCATACCCCCTGCTTCCCAGTTCTCTTTCCCGTCCCAATGGCATCCAGCGGCAGAGCACAAAACCAAGAAGCTTCTGCCGCCAAAAACGTAGCCATCATTTTCGGCGTAACAGGGCTGGTTGGAAGAGAAATAGCCAGGAAGCTGATCTCCACGACGAATCCCAAATGGAAAGTCTACGGCGTCGCCAGAGAACCCGACAGAGTCCCACTCCAGAGCCCCAACTACCACTTCATCCCCTGCGACCTCCTAAACCCTCTGGAAGCCCGAACCAAGCTGTCGTTAATCCCCGACCCGACCCACTTGTTCTGGGTCACCTGGGCCGCCCAGCACCCACTCGATTCACAACAATGCTGCGACCAAAACCGAGCCATGATGTTCAACGCCTTGGATCCCCTCCTCCATTGCAGCGCCGGAACGCTCAAGCACGTCTCGCTTCAGACTGGGCTCAAGCATTACGTTTCTCTGCGGGAAATTGCGAATTCGAAAAGAATTGTTGGTCAACGCTACGACGAGGGTTGCCCTAGAGTTGAGGAGGGCTTCAATTTCTACTACGCCCTGGAGGATTTGTTGAAGGAGAGATTGCAGGGAGGCAGAGTGGCTTGGTCGGTTCTCCGGCCAGGGTTGGTGACGGGGAATTCTAGCAGATCGATGTACAATTTGATTGGTTCGTTGTGCGTCTACGGAACCATTTGCCGGCGGTTGAATCTGCCATTTGTTTTCGGCGGGACGAGGGATTGCTGGGAGGAGGAGTACATGGACGGGTCGGATGCAGGGTTGGTGGCGGAGCACCACATCTGGGCGGCGACGGAGGAGAGGGTTCGCTCGACGGATGGACAGGCGTTGAATTCGGTCAACGGGCCGGGGTTCGCGTGGAGGGAGATCTGGCCGGTGATCGGGGAGAAGATGGGGTTGGCGGTGCCGGAGGAGGCTCTGGCAGCGGAGGGGTTTCGGTTCGCGGCGGCGATGGAAGGGATGGAGGAGATTTGGGGCGGGATCGTGGCGGAGGAAGGGCTGGTGGAGACGGAGATTGGGGATCTGGCGAACTGGGAGTTTTTGGATGTGCTGTTCCGGTTCCCGATCAAGCTGCTGGGGAGCCGGGAGAAGTCCGACCGGCTGGGGTTCACGGCGCGGCGGGAGATGGCGGAGTCGGTGTCGTTTTGGATTGACGCGATGAGGGAAGATATGCTGATTCCTCGTGAGAATTGATGGAAGATCGTGGAAGTTTGAGGAGGGCGACTCCGACGAGTTGGGAGTTGTGATTTTGACCGGTCAACTTGCTACGGCGCCAACTTGTGTTTTCTCTATGTGGGATCGAATAACTTATGTGAGAGTGACAGCTAATGAAATCCACAGATTGTGGAATGCATATCAAGCTACCATAAAATAAAGGATCAAGTTGCGATTGTTAAATAGATGTATTGTTGAGAATGCATGTGTAATATTATACATGTATTGTCGAATTTGATGCATTGTAGAATACAACGTTTGGTATGTGTGATTGTGTATGACGCATCAGCTAAAAGTTGAGACAAAACAATCTCAACTCAACTATCTCAACAATCACAACTAAAAGTTGAGATATAACAATCATTCAAAATGAGTGATAGTTTGTGTCACATCATAGAAACAATATATGTATTGTTTCTGGTAAAAAAACAAAAAACGATGCATTGTAAACAATAATGCATAATGACAATCTCAACAAAACAATCACAACTTCCAAACGACCCCTTAAGTGTATTATTTATTCCACATATTTATTGTAACACCCTAGTCCGGCCGGACGCTACTTTTACTAAAGTACCCTTGATAAACCATGAACCAAAATAAGAATAAAGTAATTTGAAAATACAACGATAAACCTTCATAAATATCCTTAATAATAAATACTTTAAATTCAAATAAGAATTTCTCAAAAGTTCCACAATAATAATTCTTGATAAAATCGCATCAAGTCTCAAGCCCTACTAAGTACACGAGGTTAAAGTCTTCGCACCGGAGTCCTCTACAGCCATTGATCCTTGTCACGAACTGTTGAACTTCTGCCATACTCTAGAGCTTCTACAATTCCTGAATGCGGGCGATGGGGTCAGTCCTAATCCTAATTTTGTTATCATACATAAACAGACAGTCATGCACATGCAATGCTTTAAGTACATTATTGGGTATATTATTAGGAGTCATTGAACTTATGATTCTTGTTTACTTCATAAGTGTCTTACGTATTTTATCTTAACATGGGGCCCCGTCCTCCACTTAGCTAGAGCACCCGCACGACCACCTAAACGTGATAAACATGGGCCTCCATCACTGTGGGAGGTGAATAACGTGATAATCATGGACCTCCATCACTAGGGGAGGTGGGGTAACCGCGTGCTAGCTAGGCGATCGTTCAGTACCTAATACGTGAACTTGAACATGAACTCCTTGTCTGAAGGAGTGAGTAGTATACATGGACTTCCTCACTCTGGGAAGTGAGGTGGTCGCGTGCTTAGCTAGTAAGTGAGGTTTGATCTTTTTCTGACTTATTAACTTGATAACTTAACGTAATTGCTTGAATCAATCTCTCACACGATGGAGAGATGCACTTAAGCTTATACTTGTTTACTTAATTTGAGAAGTTTGAGGTTACTTAGGGTGATCTCTCCCACAAGGGGAAGATCTGAACTTGTTAACTTGCACTTGATTAGCTTAGAACTGAACTTGTATTTGCTTGACTTACAACGTAGTTTATTGATGCTTCATGATGTTATGCATACTTAAAGTAATTATTGAATGTAAAGAGCTTAACTTAACAAAGAAGCGAATAACGAATAACTGAAACATAAGGCGTGAACTGAAATGCAAAACATAAACATGAATGCATAGACTGATAACGAAAACTGCTCTAGCCCCTTTAACCACGCACCTTATCAAATCGGCTTAACCGCCACATCATCGGTGTTTGGTTCACGGCCCATCGTCGATAATAGTGACTCCCTCTTGGCGAGTTTCTTGCTCGGCTCCAACAACTCCTAAGCCATTAGAAGTCCCTCTTAGTTCCATGCCAAACCGCCACTACCTAGCTAATTAACCTCACTTGTAATCCCTAATCTTCCAATCCTAACGTCCCCGACTACCCAACTCATTTCCATTGGTAAAAGTCTACTGTTGTTTCTCATCAAAAGAAAGAATGAGCCCACATAAAATCCTACCTAGCCATGCATCCACGTTAGCTAAGGGAGCATATATATATATATAGAGTGGCCATATTGTCGTGAGATGAAGGAAAGAGGGGTTTAGGAAGTTGGATTAAAAGTTGCACCATTTGGAACCTAGTGTCTGTTCAGTGAGCTTAAGCTACACAATTTACTAATCGTTCGTTCCATCCTCTCCCTTAAACATGGCGGAGTCCTAATAGTCATATCATCACCTCCTCCTACTCGTTCTTTCCGTGGTAATACTGAATATTAATAGCCATGATGAGAATTCTCCTTTACCTCCAGAGATACGTCTTCTCCATCACTTACGGAGGTGAAACTTCGAGATTGACACGCTAGTTCTTCTTCTTCCTCCTTCTCGGTTCTTGACTCAATCCTGGTTGCTGCTTCCTCCTCCTCCTCATCGGACAACAACATTCCACTGATCGTGATCGCCGTAGGTCCGCCGCCATCATTTATTTCAACTGCTTGGCGTGGGCCACACATTGGAGGCCAATGTCATGTCGCCCAAACTTCTGGACGTTTAGGTGGATAGGTGCGGGGTCTCACCATCAGCTGTGCATCGTCATTCACCTCACTGACGTCGGAGTCGACGCCGACTCTTGCCCCGATCGCCTTCGTCGAGTGCTCGGGTTCCTTCTCGCGTCTACGGGTCCCGTTTCTCCCTCGTTTCCCTCTTGCTTGTGCTAGTTCCATGGTGGTCTCGCTTGGCTGGCCGAACTCGCCACCTGAACCAGTGCTCGTCCCTTGCTTGAGGAGGAGGTATCGCCGATGAAACCAAGGAGTGGCGGCGGTCTTCGTCGAGTCGGGGAAGGAGTAGTGGCCGCCCCTCAATTGTCATATTACACCCATATATATATGGATAGGGGTTGAGTTAGGGTTTCTAAGGATGATTAATTAATTAATTAAAAGTGAAGGCAATTTAGGGAATATATATATTATTAATTAATATAATTCAGACTTGATCCAAAATGGACAATATCGTACTAATTGAACAATCCAATTTCGACAAGTTGTATAAGAGTCGTCCGTGGTTGCGATTGTTAGATTGGTTATCGAGGAGTAAGAAGAGCTACAAACAACAACCTCACAAATTCATTCCGGAGATCGCAAGCACGGACATTCAAAGATATATATTTTTGTCTCGTTGCACCGTTTAAATGTTCTTGCATGGTTAATTGCGATACTTCATTTAATAGTGGCGCACCATAGCTTTTGAAATATTGAGTAGGGAATTATTGGAAAAGGTTGTCGCAGTTTGGTTAGAAGATAGGTCAGTAGGTTAATTTGTTTTTGGTTTGTGAGTACCAGAATTCATTTTGTAACATATACTCTCCTCAAATCAGTGTAACCACATTAAAACTTTGTGTCTGGTTTGTGTTCCTTGCGTTATCGTTTGCATGGTTCCATCACGGCACGTTAGATACTTCATCCAATTCCTCCTATGCCGTTTTTATCAAAGAGAACCTCAACCATTTATAGGTCAGATTAACCTCCACTAAAAACTATTCTTATCACCGACAACTGATTTGTTTCCCTCTATCACAATTAATCTAATTAAGAAACCTAAGCACTAAATGAGTTGTCCTAAAGAGATTGTCCCTCTCTAAGGAGATTGTTCCCTCTTCCTAACTCGTTCTACCTTCTTTGAAAGTTGATGAATTTTACAGAAACTGCAAAGACTGAGAAAAAAAGGAGATTGAAGACTAACAACACTGCAATGGAAGGCCCAATCTTGTTTGTTCCATAATCATAATTTGCTTTCAAATAGTCTTTTACCGATACTTGAAAACCCTGTCCTTGAATAATGGTTTCCACATTACCAAGTTGGGATGATATAATCCCTTGGAGTGTCCAAGCTATAGGGCAGATGTAGTAAAACCATATCCACCACACAGGAATGAACTGAAACAAAACCATATGGTCAATCTTAACTAGAGAATGAAGAAGCAAAAAAATTTGGATTTCAATAAAGCACTTATGAAATATCATATTCCTTACCTGTTTTGGGATGAGGAAACCAGAGAGAAGGTTCCATAGAGAGTAGAATGCAGATGAGACCACAACGGCAATGTTTTGAGTAGGGGTCAACCCCACAGCCATCATTCCGTAAAACGTGAAGTATGTGAATGTAAGGAACATGAACAACATGTACAAAAAGAATTTCCCTGCCAAATTAGTGTAGGTTAGTCACTTGATGTTGTTTCTCCAAAAAAAAGTCACTTGATGTTGAAAAAGGAAATGAATATGTGAAGTAGCTCTAGGTTACCAGCATTTTGTTCAAACTTAATCATGAAGTATGTAATGACACAGTAGATGATTGTCTGAACCAAAATGTATGGAATTTCCACAATTCCCTATGATGAAAGAAAGGCAAGTTAGAAGTTATTCATCCAACTTAGTTAGGATTACACCATTGATTTGTTAGGGCAAGAACCTGCGCAGCTGCATAAGCTAATGGCGAATACATCCCTGCTGCCTTCTCTCTGTAAAACACCGTTCTTTCAATAGCAACTATTGGCTGCACTGAAGAAGCATTGCTTACCCCAAGGAATATACATGCACTGTACAAAGCTCCCATTACAGTAAATAAAGCTTGAGTTGTGTCCCTGAAATTGTTATTATTTATATTCAATTATTAGTTAGAAGTTTTTATAGAAGAAGGGACAATGGATTGGATATTTACCTCTTAGAACCAACACCCCAAAATTGTGTCCCCAATATTAGTGCTGCTAGCATAGTGTAGAACAACCTCACTACATTGTATCGTGGACTTCTCCAGTAGACAAGCATTTGTTTCCGAAGACAAATCTGAAATTGGGACAACGAACCTTGTGCGTATGTGGAGTCAAAACGCACTGGTTCAGAGCCTTGAGGAGGGCTACTCAAGCTCATAATAGAATCTTCAACCTCCCTGGATAGATAATGGAGAAATGTAATACATGAATTTGAAAATATTTTCAATGCATCCTTAGAAGGTACAACGAGGTTTATCGCAACGCAATCAAAACTACCTGTACTGCGTAGATGTTACATATAACTCGGCAAAGTCTGCTTGTATCTTCTCTTCCACACTAGCAGTAGTAACCTCAAGCATCCATGTTGCAGGGTTATAACCATCACGAATTGGAGGGACCCCATTGATTCCCTTACCAAGAAAATGACATTAAACTAGGGCTTATAAATTTAACCATTTACAAAATAATGTAAACTTTGAAAATCACAATAGTCATCAAAATCGGCATCTTGATTTCCATTCTCTTATTTTAATGATATAGTAAATCAACCATTATTACCTGGAAGTAGTCTATCAAAATCCGTGAATGGAGGCCAAGCTTCCCTCCGTATATAACCCGACCTCCCCGTTTCATTAGAAGTAACTGTGTTCATAACAAAAAAATATCACATACTGTAAATGAAACCAATAGAAGGGTAACAAGATTTTGTTACCTCGTCAAATGCTTCAAAAATGTCGATACTTGGTTGATGAATGGTGCAAACTACAGTACGTCCAGTATCCACTGTATTACGAACAGTGCGCATCACTATGGCCGCAGCTCTCGCGTCAAGTCCAGATGTAGGTTCATCCATAAAAATAATCGAAGGATTTGCTACAAGCTCAACGGCAATTGTTAATCGTTTTCGTTGCTCTGTAGACAAACCTGAACTACCAGGTAAACCAACCAAAGCTTGTCTTAACGTATCAAGTTCTACTAGTCTCATTACTTCCTCAACAAATTCCTGCAACAATTTATGATAGAAACAAAACAATATTAAGAAGTGATAAATAATTTATATTTCAATATTATATTCATGTTGTGTCATAAGCAACTCACACATCTCTGTTCTTTTGTGACTTCTTTGGGGAGCCGAAGATTAGAAGAAAACCAAAGAGACTCCTCAACTGTGACTTGTGGAGAATGTATATCATTTTGCTCAACATATCCAGAAATCCTAGCAAACGTGCTCTGCACCTTAGGGTGTCCCGATATCTTTATATCCCCTGTTATATATCCCCCTGTTTTCCTACCAGCGAGCACATCCATCAGAGTAGTTTTTCCAGCTCCACTTGAACCAACTAGGGCAGTTAGAACACCAGGCGAGAATACTCCACTCACATTTACGAGGAGCTGCAACCGCCTTTCTGACATACCTTCTTGACGCATTGCCTGAATATCCAAGCGACATTTATTATTTGTTCATTCAATCAATGTTAATAAGAATGCAAATGTGTTGTGAGAAATAAGTGCTTGAAAAATAAGCATACCTTGGGAATATCAACAAAGTAGTTTACATTGTGAAATGTCATTACTAGCGGTTGAAATGGAAGAATCATTCCTTTCCTTTTAGTTTCTAGCGTAGCTGATTGATCTAACAATGCATTGCTCCCTGCAGATAGAATACAAATTATGTTGATATCTCAATAGATGAGTAAAAAGTAACACGATAAAGGAACTTGCTTCATTGAATATACACCTAATGTTAATTCAAATACTACCGTTGGGGTTGTTTTTTTCTTCATCATCAAATCGAGGGATAGCTTGAGCCTTTCTAAGTGCTGTGATAAACCAAAAAAGAAGCAAACATATTAAAGCTCATATGAGCAATTGTATCTAGTACAACTTTGTTACTCAAGGAAAGGATTAACAAAGATTAGTTTGTAATGATTTATATAGCTTGACTTACGATTAAGAAAGGCTATCGCAAATGTGACAGCGATATTGAAAAGTATAGCATAAAGCAACAAAACACCAACTCCAAGCCAGTACCAGTATCTTTCAACCGGTAAACTATGACTGTGGAGAATGTTGTACCCAACAGTCTCATTTCCAATTGCCGATTTCTGGGATAGATTAACGAAAGATAAAATTTGTCATGCATGCACGTTAAGAAACACATTCATGAACTATTTTTTTTTTACAAAAATATATACCTTCATCCATCTATCAGCATCAAACTCATTGACAGAAATTGCTCGTTGAGCATAAGATAATGGTGATAGCCAAAAGGCCCATACCCACCATGGCTTAATCATAGCTGAAAGAAGAACAACCTGATTACACTATGTGTGAATCACGTTCAAACATTCTAAGTAAAATTGATACATTACCCTTTGGGATAATGAAACCACCGGACAAGAATGTAATCAACAGACAAGCCGAAGCAAAAGTGTTAGCGATCACAAGATCCCGTGCAACTGAAGCCAACGTACGAAAGAGACCTAAAGCCATTTGGTGTAAGGCAAAGAGTAGAAACATATAGCGGAAGAATCTGGGACATATAAGGAAAACATATTAATGAGACGATGAAACTAGAATATAAATTCAGTAAAAGGAAAGCCACCAGGTTTACCTCCATATCTCAGGTGAAAATCCAACAGAGTAGTAGACAATAGCAGTCCACACAACAGCTTCAACAATCGAGTATGGAATACGTAGCAAGAAACTAGCTAAGGACCAGGCCCATGCTGGATGAAACAAATTATCTCGTTGTTTGTAGAAGACTGGGAGCCGAAACATCAATAAAGACAATTCTGAAAATCCATTGAATAATATATGCACTAGCCCGAAGAATAGGCATGCAAGGTAGAGGTTCCCTTCTGTCTCACTTCCAGGATGCATCCTTGATCGAGAGAATATTGTGCATGTGACAAATCCCACAAATGCGACCTTAAAACAAAGGGAAAATATTAAAATGGTGGAAAGTTTACTTAGCATGTCAAACAAAAAAACCATAATTTTCCAGGGATTCGGAAAGCATACTTGGCAGGTCTTGAAGATATACAAAAATCGTTGTCGGCTGATTAGCAAAACCTCGCGTGTCAAACATGTCTTGAGCAGTTCCCACCTAGATGTAGCATATTTTGTTTTTGAAAGTGCTTCAGGACGGTTCATGTTTTCTTCATAAGGAACATAAATTGAGGCGCTCATAGACCTTCCAAACGGTGATTTTATGAATGCTCTCGCAATATCTGGAGCAGAGATGAAAACATATGGTTTTGAAGGATCGGCCCAGTACTGAGCTTGATCCTTTTTAGAGGTCACCTGTATTTCCAGAAACTCATTAAATCTTTAAATTTGAACTTTTCATATAAAGGTTTTTATGAAGGCTTGTTCACGATGGATTTGTTTGTAGAGTACCTCTTGAAGGAAATCGGCTATACTCTTTCGAGGTGGCAGCTGGAACCCTAGCGACCCAAAGAACTCTAAAACCTCTACTCGAGGCCCTTCATACACCACATAACCCTCAGATAATAATATAAGATCATCAAACAAGTCGAATGTCTCTGGAGGAGGCTGAAGAAGAGCCATTAAAACAGTTCCTTCCATGAAATGGACAAAATTTCCTATACATTTTACAATCTGGTAGGTTGTAGAACTATCAAGTCCCGTAGATATCTCATCCATCAAAAGAGTTTTTCGTGGCCCAACAATCATTTCTCCTACAGAAACATGTTAACATCCATTATCTTCATGAATGTCATCAAGACCTTACATTATTACTGTCACATTTCAATATTATAGTCATAGAGTGTGCAGAGCCTCAAAGAATATCCTCAGTCGAACTACTAAGCATATGGATTAAACGAAAATATTCCCTTGTGTATATATGGAATAAGAGAGAGAAAGCAAACCTGTGGTAACCCTTTTCTTCTGACCACCAGAAACACCCCTGATCATGTCACTACCAACTAATGTATTCGCACAAACATCCAATCCAAGAACTTTAAGTATATAGTCTGTTGAAATACTATGTTTTTTGCCGCGAACAGAAGATGCCTGCTTTGTGTGGAGTAAAAAAACCATAGAGATTGTGGTAAAAGGAAGAGAAGACATGAAAGTAGAAATCAATACATTAGATATATGCAATATGGACCTTCATAAAGGCATCAATTTCTGGACTTGGTTGTATATCTCTTTCTTTTTCGAGGTGGACAAGGTCATTCATGTAGCCTGAAAGAACATTAGAGAAACAAAATTTAGACTTTGAAGGGGGGAAACACAATGCCTACTTATCATAAAGAGTTAGAAGAGTAATGTATGAGGTGTGAAATTAAAGAAACAAACCCGCAAAGCCTTCACTTGCTCCCTGCCAACGGGCAGCAAAATCCAAAGTTTCTCGTACAGTGAGCTCTGCTATATGATTATCTGTTTGGCTAATGTATGCAGAAGTTCTTTGTACATTAAACTTATCAAGACTTTGGCCATTGTATGTAACACTACCACTAACCTGGCAAAGAAAACTCCCAAAAATGAGAAGGCGTTGTGATAAGAGGAAATGTCAAGGAAGACAAGACATTGGAGCTTAAATACATGTTTGTAGTAGTTAACCATATTTGAAAACCTTCTTGTCATGAATAAGTTAGTGAAATACTTAATGAGTCAAATATAGAGAATTAGACTGTGATCTTTTTTTACCATGCAAAACAACTTGTATAACAAGTTCACTGAAAAACGACCTTTAGGTTCTCGTCAAGTTTTCCGGCAATAGCTTTCAATAAAGTGGATTTGCCTGAACCCGGAGGCCCCAAGAGCAGTGTCATTCTGCATCCACCCAAACAAGGAATGAAGGAAAGGTTAACAAATAAGCAAACAAACTTGGATTTTAATAGTACACGAGGTGAAGTGGCCGAGAAATAAGACCTAAAAAGTTCCATCTATGGATGTTGTACGACCGTCTAGGAGATCAGGTCAAGTCATGGTATGAATTTTTATGTTGTAGAACATGGGCAGAACTTTTAGTTTTAGCTTATTTTTTAAGGGAAGTTTTAGTTTTCTCATTTCCCAATTTTTAAAAGGCCAAGTTCTAAAATCCTTTTAAAAATTAATGTGTAGTATTTATAAAGTCACATGCTTAATTATACGAGTAATTATTCTCTTAGGATTTTTGGTCGAAGGGACCTGTTGGCCTGAACTTCGGGTGAGGTGATAAATATGTTTTTTTATTTGTTTCCTTGAATGCTGCTAAGGGAATTTGCAGGAGGAAACTCGTCCTGAAATTTCCAGGTTTGAAAACTTGATGGTGGCACAATTAAATTAAAATTAAGTCCTCATTGCCTTAACAACATTAATATGAATAACAATATTGCAGTGTATTTCATTTTATGCATAAAGTTGAAACTTATTTTATTACTCACATTTACATAGCTTCTTATTACAAAAAAAAAAAAAAAGATTTACATACCTTCCTGGTCTTAAAATGCCACTGACATGGTTCAAAATCTTCAAAGAATGCCTTTGAGGCCGGTATATTTTCAACGCAGTGAATAAATCCTACACAGGTAAAACCCAAATCACAGGAAAAACCTACCATCAGAAAAGCTTATGAAAAGAAAACGTAACCTTTAACAAAATTAAAAGAACAAAGCAGGAATTTTTTGGTTGGTGTTCTAATACTACAGACTGATAATTGTACTCTACAATGGTGGTGGGGATGCACCAGGAAAATCACTTCACCTCTATGGCGTCGCGGGTAGCATTGATGAGCGTAGGCAAAGCTCGCTCGCCGATTTGTATGTTGGCGTCTACGTTCAAGCTGTCGAACCTCACCTCCACATTCGGCACCAGAATCCCTACTCTGTGAGTGATAATTGAATGAAGCCAGCCACAAACAGAATGTGGATCTCGATCAGAGCATAGTAATTAAGTAACTAGCGCTGATTACAGTGGCGAAGTGGTTGGGGAATGATTAATTACCTGTCGAGGCGGTCCTTGATGGCAGAGAGAAGGTTGTAGTTGTCCTGAGAATTCGTGGCGAGGGCCTTTTTGACGACGAGCTCTCTGGCAGTGCGATCCAACTTCCGCACGTCAATCGTCTCTGTTAGCGGGCCGCCGGTCCGCTGGGCCTCGGAAGGGGTCCGGCGCAGGACAGCCAGGTTGTCCCGTCGGCGGGAGGGGAGTCTGGTGATGGCCTCCCTGATCAGCTCCCGCTCCTCGTCCTCCCTCGCCGTCATCCCGATATTCGACTCCCTCATCGGGTCTATCTCCACCTCCAAGAACTCGCTCCCGTTCAAAGCTGCCATTGCATATATATACACCCTACAATGTCACAAATCTGGGTACTTTATTTTTGTGTGTGCATACGCTGAAATCATACAACTTTTCGTTTGTTTGTCTCTCTGGACAGTGTTGAGAAAACGGTAGCGAGGAAAACAGAGCTCCCCTGGAATGTTGTAGGATTGAAGTGCAGCAGCGACTACCAAGAAACCTAATTGATTGCGAAGAAAACACAAGAAGACACCACTTGTCGACTTTACAGGGTTTGGTTTACAAATTAGAAGAAAGGAACTCTTCCCCCATTTCATTGTAAGTTTGTCCGGTTCCTTAGGCAGGAGAAACTAATCGTTCAGATATGCAGATAGCAATTTGGCGTTGAAAAGATGATACAATATGCTTTTTTGCCGGAGCTGTAGAAAAGATACAAATTAGTAGTACCCATTGGATCTATTCATTTAGTTTTATCAATTATTCAAGTACATAAGTTTGTGTTCGCGTAGACAATATGATTTTTTCACGCAATTTTATTAATTGTTCGACTAATTGATTAGTCGATCTATAAAATCAATCATGTCTCATCAACTATTCATTATCAAGTAGTTGTCGTGTGATCAAATATTTTAAATCACTCCAAAAAAATAAAATATTTTAATTGTATAATTATGCAGTCAAAAGTTAGATTTAAAGTCTAAAAGTCTATACTTTTACGCTTTGGACCTCGGAAATATTGTAGTTTTTGTTCAAGAAAAATTTTTTTCACCAAAAGACCAAGCAACATCCTTCAAGCCAAGCAAAATCCTTAGCCTAGTAAAAACTTTTGTTGGCCCCCTACCAAAAAATCTTTGCTTCGTCTGCCACGAAACCAATAACCCCCTCACCCCTCCACCATCCTTTTGGTCGCTCGGTCGAAATGAACCAATTAGACAGCGTTATAAGCGATATGATGAAGACAAGAGGAGTTCAATGTTATGAGGGACATGATGAAGACGACATGGAAACATCGAACACCCTTATTTGAACTATATGGACTGTGTTTTGTTTAATCATATTGTTCAAAACATCAAACTGCCTGCAATTAATTCTGTTCATCAACACAAGTTTTCTCCCCAGAAAACAACATTCCCCGCCACGATTTTTAAACATCAGATCGAGCATTACAAATTTTCACACACACGGGCACCGATCATAAATACTTCCACTCTCCTCTTATTATATTATGATAAAAAGCTACAACAGGAGTACTACTATATATACGTACGCCATTATTTCTGAGCGGAGAAGTAGTCGGCCATTGACACCAAAGCTCAAGCTCAAAGGATGGATGGATGGAGTATGTCACATACAAGGTTACCAGCTAGCTAGTTTATATCATATCTGATGAAGCAAACATTTGAGTCCCTATCCCTCCAAACTCGAGCTCCGATGTTGTTATAACAGTTGGTATGGAGCACGTTCATAGCTCTATTGAGGCAGTTTTCCGCATCAGAAGCCCCGCCTGTGTTCACCGTGGCTTTGATCACAGTTCTGCTGGGACAAGTTCTGATCTGGTCCTCGAAGCCAGGACCGATAGCCGATTTGGAGACCTTCTTAATCAACGTTCGAAGCACATCCTCCACGCATCCAAACGAGTCATCTCCTGTCAGGAACACGTGGCTATTGCAGGCAGATTTGAACATGTCGGCGGCACTTGCTTGCTGACCGTCGCCGCCGCCCGATATCCATAGCAACAATAAGATTGACAGCAGTATGTGGACTAACGCTCTGGAAATGGAGATCATTTTTCGTTCCCACTTTCTCTCTTTTCCTTTTTTGGTTTGGTTTAATTTGGTTTCTTGCCATGCACTTGGTTGTTGTTGGTGTGATATATAGGAGGCTCTTCCTTGGTTTCAAACGTCAGTAATAATTAATTCTGTGATGTAGTTATTGGGAATCAAGAATCCCACGGCTACCTCCAACTTACTGTGTTTGTGTTTTAAGTCTTTAGATAACGCCAATCTCGAGAGTTTTTTTGACTGTGTTTTGTTAGGAATGTTTAAATATACACCAATGATGTGTTTGTTATGATCCGTTGGTTATGGTTGGGGCAGGCATTTGGTTTGGTGAACCTGAATCATATCTAGGGTTATTAACAAGGTTGTCAAACCGGTTTAAGTCATTGATCTGATTTGAGGTTTATTGATCGGGGTTCGACTTGTTTGAACCATTTATTAATATATTAATATATAAAAGTCTAGGTTTGAGTTACTATTCATTAGTTCCTTTCACACTTCTCCAAGTGCAAGTGGGGAAGTTCCAAGTCCTTCTTTTACCTCACTCTCCATTCTACAACCTTTGTGTTTAGTTATTGTTCGCTAGGTTTTCGTCTAGGGCTTTTTGCACAATCATCACCTTTGTGTTTTGTTATTGTTCCCTAGGTTTTCATCTATCGATTTTTGCACAAATCATCCCCTTTGCCCACCATTTTGCAGCCCATCTCAAAATATTGTCTGCGGAATCCTAAGTTGTTCCCCACCACCGTTTTCCAAGGCCGCTACCACATTTTTGTAACGGGACCGAGTTTCATCCTCTTTAGTGTTTTTTCTTTCTTTTTTTTTTCCTCTATGTTGAGCATGATCACAATTGAACCCAAACACATATGGGTATTCTAACTTGAACACAAATCATTGCCTTTCACACCATTTTTCAACCCATCTCGAAATACTATCGACGGAATCCTAAATTTTTCCCCATCATCATTTCACCCCTGGGAAATGATCAAGAACTCCTCCTGCTTCACTTTCGTCATCCTCCACAACTTCTTTCTGCACCCTTTCTTGCTCTTCTTCTTCTAGCACGGATTGGAGAGCAAGTTGCCAAGCAATTTCTTTCATGAGATCTTCTTGCATCTCCTCACTCATGCTTGCCTCTTCAAAGCTCGGTGTGGGATGTGGGAAGGGGTGGTCGGCTATGACAGGACATTCTTGATCATGATCTTCATGGGAGCTCTCCGTGATAATCTATGTTTGCTCCACAATGTCCTTGTAGCCTTCTTCTTCCTCCTCCTCTTCTAGTATGGTAGCAGAAGGGTGATCGGGAGCAGGTTGTGCACAAGATCGCTCAAGATCATCGACGCTCTTCTTTAAGGCTCGGGAGGATCTCCTCTATTTCACGATAGGCCTGGACACAATGATCCATCCTGGAGCATGTTCTCTCACTGTCTCGAGAAAACTGTTTCATGAGAAGCCTCAATTCATAGTTTGGATCTGGCTGTCGAGTGTAGCATGGCTCTGCAGAATGGCCAGTGAAGGCCGCCATGGGTAACTCTAGCGCCGATGGCCCTTCTGGTTGTGGGAGAAATTCTTCTTGGTAATGAGGTTATTCTTGATATGCCCAGGGGTCCGGTTGTTCTCCGTAGTAAGGGGGTTGGTACTGGAACCCGAATCCATAGTCTTCTCCTCCTTGATTGCTCCAGGGAGTCTCGGGGTAATACCACTCGGGTGGTGGTGGATACCCCCAATTGTTGGAGAAGCCATGTGTAACACCCCACCCTAAAACTCATTGGGTTGAACCAATGGTTCACCCGCACAATGGAATCTCTATCGGGGGTTACGCAAAAACTCAACTGTTTTACTACGGTAACATACATACCAACATCGTTATAATTCAAAATCACAACAATCAATTCTCAAATTACTCATCATATACCAAAGATCAACTCGATCTAGTTCATTCATTTCATGTCAACCAAATCAGAGTGTCATTCACTACTATGTTCATTACGGTAACATCTACTATGCAATACCCAAATCATCAACTCATAAAACATAAATGAGAGTCATTTCAAAATCTGGGAAAAGTTCAAAACCAATCCTCCATCGATCATTGTGCAGTGCCATAGTTTCTCTCAATTCATTCGAACCTGTAAGAAACTGAATAGAAGTGGGTCAGCAACTAAGCTGTGTGTGTGGATCTTTCCCACGACCTAGTTACTGGACCGCAATCAGCTAATCAAACAGTCGCAATCAATCGTAATTTACTACTCTAGATGCCATCTTAATTCATCATATAGATAAATCATCAATCAATATAACGAATCCACCAACTCATCATCACTAAATCACTTTATCCAATAAGATAATCACATAATTTCACGAACACATAATCAATGCATTATATGAAAATTCCGATTAATTATTATTAATGGCGCCAAGGTCACCATACACTTACCCTCGCTCGAGCAAATCATCATCCGTGGTGCTCATGCAACCACAACACTCAATCCGTGGGTTTTAACCACAACACTCATCCGTGGTGCTCATGCAACCACAACACTCAATCGCATAAGCGAGCTAAATCTACCCACTCTCAAGGGGTGAGGGTAAGTGCAGGCCCTTTCTACATCTATGTGAATTAATATGATCACGAATCAAACCATTTTTATTTTTCTCATTCATCACAAACAATCCGGAATCAATGTAGTCTCACTGATTAACCGATCCATATATATATTTCCCGTCGATTATCAACTCTACGTTTCTAAAAATCAATTATCCCATCATCCAATACCAAAATCACATAAATCATCTCATTCTCCAATAAAGCTACTCAGCAGTACCATATCACCATTCCTCATCCAAAATTCATCAACAATTTCACGAAATAGCACCAACGCAAATAATTATAAATAACCCGGTTGCGGCTAAAAATATCCTTATCTCAAAATTCACTTTTTTCATTAAAATCCTCACACAATTCATGTAAATGAATTTATTGACACAAAAATCCATTTAATCTAGTTCTGGTCATAAAAATCAATTTAGACAATAAAATATAAAAAATCTCGTATTAATCATTATTTTACGGTAACTTAAATTCCCACAAAACGGTAATTCCGAAAATCTCCAAAAAATAAAAGAACCTTCATTTATCATCCTAAAACAGGTCTGTCCAGTTTTTATATTTTTCAACAAATCAAAACCATGAAAATAATATTACACTCGCTCTTTACCGCAACTCTCGTATTAAGCTCGTTTTTACCATTTTAAAGATAAAAAAAATCCCCCAACTGTCTAATTTACCATTTCCAGACCAAAACCCATTTAACAATCCATATTTACCATTTTAAAGTGATCAAAATCTTAAAGCTAAATAAAATACGTTTTTACCGAGCTTTCCGTAAAATTCATCGTTATGCAGTTTTAATTCGAAAACCATTTTCAAGTGAAATCTTCAGCTCAAACTGCCCCAACATCATTTTAGACAAACAAAAATCTCTTAGATCAGTTTTAAACTCAATAAACCCAACTATTCATTTTTACGGTGAAACTTCTCAAATAGCGATACGTACACCGTAAAATCCATAACAAAAAATAATAATCACCAAATAATCATCTCAGAAACCAAGTCATCAACCAAACTAATCCATCCATCCAAATATTCAAATAAAGCATAAATAATCGATGCAATAATTAAGGTCCTCTTAATCCCCACACACCTTAATTTAGCCGATTCCAAGTCGGGAATTAAGTTCTAAAATTCCAGAGATTGGCTCCTAAAAATCCTCTCATTCCCACGGTCGTTTAGCCGCAAACGGTTCGTCGTTTGGACGTCAAACGAAGAAACTGCGAGCCGATTACGATTAGTATGCAAAATTACAGAATGGTACCCCATAGTTTCGAACTGTCAGAAACAGTTCCAGAACTAATAAATCGTACAATTATACGCACAGACTTTCGAACCTCGTTTCTCCCTCGTTTGACCTCGGAATTCGATTCCGTCGACTCCGTGATGCTCCTGGAGACGAGATCTATGCATCGGTACCTAGCTTCGGAGTTATTATCGCAGTTGCCGATGTCGACGTCGACGACGGGATTTACGACGATCCTCCGACGAACCTCTTACAAGCGTCGAAACCGATTTCTGACTCCACCAATCGAATTATAGGGGTCCTATTACCTAAACCCAACCGTAAGATGATTCAATTTCCCTCTTCTTCCCTTCCTTGCCCTTTTCTTTCCTCTCGGTGACTACTTCAGGAAAAACAGAGGAAGAATCGTTCCTCTTCCTATATGTTGTCCCAAGCTCCCTCTCCCCTGATTTAATCACGCCGAAGTAGAATTAAAACCCTAAAGGCCGCCTCTATCCTGCAGGGGTGTTGGAATGATAAAAATCCATTTCCAACGTCGGGCGCCGATTGAAAGATACATATCCGGAGCTCGACACGTCCTGGAAGTGTTCGACGATGTGCCACGGATGTTGGCTCTTCCATTGAAACGACGACATCGGAGTTAAGGCTGGCTGGTTGCATACAGAAGGACGTAAACATGTATTTAATCAAACCGGAGAGCCCTTGTACACTAATAACCTTGTAGCCGAACGTGTAAGTCATTAGTTAATGAGCAAAAACTCAATGTTTCAAAACCTGTTGCCATCATTTTATTTTCTCATTTTTCTTTTCTCTATAATTTCATTTTCTCATTTTTCTTTTCTCTATAATTTCAAAATGTATACATATATGTACACACATAATAATCAATTACTATAATAATTATTATTGCTTCCACATACATCATTTTATTTTCTCATTTTTCTTTTCTCTATAATTTCAAAATGTATACTTATATGTACACACATAATAATCAATTACTATAATTATTATTATTGCTTCCACATACATCCTTTTTCCGTTGACGGCGTAAATTCCACGACATAGAATTTCGATTGTAAATTTACAATTATAGAGAATAAATTTATTTTATTTATTTCGTTTGTTTTGGGATGTTACACCATGAGGATCCATGATTCAGATTTGCACCAACAAAAACAAAAACACCCAAGTGAAAAGCAAGGGTGGAAAATAAAAGAAAAGAAAAACGCTAAAGTAACAAACTTCTGCCTTTCCTAATACTCTAGAAAGTCCCCGGCAACGGCGCCAAAAACTTGACTCGCTATGACACAACTCCTAACAATGGCCAAGTGTAACCAATGGAAGGGACTGCAGTATAGTGGCTCAAGTAATAAATATCGAATCCACGGGTCTCTAGAGTTACTATTACTCAACTTCAGTTTATTATTTAGCAAACCAGATTAATACGGAAGAACTAAAACTACTCTAGCAAACTACAGTTAAAGTTAATCTAATTACAGGTTGGGAACTCACTTAGGTATGATTTCCCCTAGCCACTAGCCAGATTAACGATTGATGATCTCTAAC